ATAGATCAGCTGGAGCATTAAACAGAAGGATATGCAAAAGATAACTGAGAAATATACTTATATTGTATTTTATATGCTGTACTTAGACCAATTTGAGGTAAAAAGCATCACAACGCTTTTCATTTTTGGGTCATTTAATGAATTAACCAGTTATTGCACTAAGGTGACAAAACGTGGTAGCAGAATAAATGAATTTATGGACATATAATATATCCTGCAATTCTACAACCACTATAAATGACTTAATGAAAAAAATCGAAAATAAATTAAATTTTGTACAGCCTGGTTTTATACTGAGGTTTTTAAGGATGCACTGAAAAATATGAGGTAACTTTTAATTTTAATTTTTTTTTTTGATCTTTCAAAAAAGAAAAAAATGACTAGCTTTTAGAATTACATGAAATTATAACAGTTTACTTTACAGAACACATTATTGAGACAACTGGCCTATAATTAACAACAAAAAAAAAAAAACTTTAACAAATACGTCTGGTTGATACAAAAACTACTTCTTAACTTTTAAGTTAATTTTTAGTATATTATGAATTATATTCATGACTACATGCAGAATACTATTCATAATAATGCAAATAGATTTCTTAAAAATTAATTGGCTTAAACACTTTGTAAATGATGCCATATCATACAGTAAAAAAACGAAGCACATACAAGGTACATTGTATGTTCTACATCTTAATCAGTTAACTGCATAAAACTATAAAATTTATTATAATTTGTGTTTTGTTCTTAATGGCCTATTTATCGATTCAAATGTCTAAACTTGAAAAAATGTAAAAAAAGTTTCACTTCAATTATAACTTTATACCAGCATTTGCGTAGCATTTAGACATGGCGCCATTTTTTTAGTTACGTTTTTTTTTCATGTTTCTTTGAAAACTGTTTTAACTTGCTTGGTTACCTTATTAACTTGTAGTCAGTAACAATATGCATTATTATAAATTTATCACACAAGTTGCTGATATGGGAGAATATATTCCAGCTGACATAAATATAACCCGCGGATTATGCCACTGGGTCATATTTATCTCATTCCGGCTATATTCTCCCATATATCCCATCAGCAACTTATATTACTAATAATATATTCTTATAATGCTGCACATTTGTTAAGCTGATTTTCATTGGTCACAATCTTGTTGTTAAAAACATAAATTTTCATTGGGCAATCTTGACATTTATGTTACCTATATAATTTTCTATAAAGACTCTCAACAAGTTAAATTTGCTATATAGACTCTAAAAAAGTTATCTGGTCAAGTATAAATGCTTGATGTCAAATTATTCTTTCTGGGTGTCTAAGAGTTAATAAATTTACAATTGTTTCTAATAGGTCATAAAGCCTACTTAATTTCAATAATTATATTATTAGTTATGTTTGGAAATATAACCCGAGCCGCTAGGTGAGGGTTTTTATTCCAAACAACCGTTTATATACAGCCATATAACCTGTCTTAAATATTTGTAACGAATTTATACAGCAAGCATCATTTTTTAGTGTGAAAAGTGAGATTTCTTCATAAATTGACAGCAGCCGTGTATATAAAACTATATAAACGTCATGATTATCCAATGAAAAGCGACATTACAAACGTGCAGTATTATAAGATTAGTTATAAAGATTTTTGAGAGGTTATTTGGCCCTATATAAATTTTTGTATGCATTTCTACTTGGGCTATATTGCAAACCAATTATATGTCGGTATAACAATATTGCCATATAACCTGTCAAGAACATGCATAAAAAATATATAACAGGTATAATAAGCCAGCAAAATTTTGAGAGAGGAAAAGAAGAAATTACTTCATAAATTGACAGCAGCAATGCATATATTTTATATAAACATCAGATTTATTCAAAGAAAAGCAATGTTACAAACATGCAGTATTATAACTTCAGGGGTTCCGCTAGCCATGGAAACTAAGGTTTGCCATTTACAAGGCCAAATCCCCATGATTTTATCAAAATTTGATCCTCCAGTTAAAATCCTGAGGGTCAAATCAAGCCTATAGGACATTTGAAGGGTCAAAGAGTCATTTCAAGGGTCAAATGAAGACACTGTAACTTAAAACATAAAATAGGTAACAATATATACAAGTACCAGTATATATTACTGAATTTTATCATCTTTTTTTATTAAGGAATATTTTCCTCTGTTTCATGTAAGTTACATAACATAGAAACATATTACAGAATAAATCTACATAATTTTATTCACATTACTATTATATACTTTTATCATGCTTTATTGATGAAAAAGTATTAGAAACATTACTTGAACATAATCTCTAAAAGCAACACATAATCTTTTTTATTTCTTTTTTTAAACAGTTTTCTGAATAAAATTAGCACTTATAAATTGTCTTACAATCTCAAATGGAAGAGTTTCACAACACCATCAAAGCTATTACTACTACAAATAACAAAATATTTCAAGGGAGGTAACTTCCAGAAAACGTTTTAAAAACTATAAAAGCTAGTTGACAAAATATTTCAAGGGAGGTAACTCTCACAATGTTCAAATGGGTTATTTTACAAACTATAAAAGTGAATACTATTGCATATTACAAAATATTTCAAAGGGAGGTTACTCCTACAACATTCAAGTGGAATATTTCACAGAACTATAAAAGCTAGTACTCAAAATATAAACTAAGGGAGGTTACTCCCACATAGTTTAAAATTAAGCACTTGAGACAGACTACTTACAAATCATCAATCCTAACAAATATAGTCAGGGTGTTCACTAGCCATGAAATCCTGAGGGTCATTTTGACTAAATTTTACTGACTACAAGTTCAAATCCCCATGATTTTGAATTTAACAAAATTTGACCCTCCAGTTAAAATCCTGAGGGTCAAATCAGGCCGTTTGGAAATTTGAACGGTCAAAGAGTCATTTCAAGGGTCAAATGGACACCCTGATAGTTTATAAAACATATAATTTTAATTATTACAAATCATATGCTATTCAATAAATATTATATTAGGGCAATATAGTACACAATAATATATTTAATAATATATTTACATAATATGTAATGAAAAGTTTCATTATGTAACAAAATTTTTTTCATCGACACATTTCTAAAGCTACCACAAATCACTGACTAGACATGTAACAAATAATTACATTATAACTACATTTTATTTAACAAGGTTATAAAAAATCAATTTTATCTGACTAATATAGAAGTCATTTTACATCTACATGTATATGCATAACTGCTGGCAAATTGTGATTTTGTTTATTTTCTTCCAATTATGCAAAATAATTTTTTTAAATAAAGATTTTTGACCATTTATAATCAGATTGATATATAACCCTCAGTTGTACCACTTTGGGTTATATAAGCTTAGTATACAATCATTTGTACTGGGCCATATAACCCATCAAAAAAATCTTTAACAAAATAAGTAAAGAAATCCACAGAAACTCACAATTATCTTTTTCAATTAAGACACATGTTGCACAGGTTTTGTTTACCATATTTCTCATTAGCATATTAGTAAAAGAAAACATGTGACCTATTTTCTGAAAAGAAAAAAATATGAAATAAATTGTCAATCACTTGACAGAGAGATTCAATATGCAAGGGAGGTCACTGTATTTACATTTATCAGTAATAACAAAACATGATTACCTCCCTTTACAATTTCTTCAGAAGCAAGCTTTCTACACTCTGACCACAAAATGTAAACGTGGTGTTGCCTATGTAACATTTTATCACTATGTATCACTGTGTGATATTCCACATATGCATGAAATTTCAGTTATGTAAAAGAGAGGAAACTTAAATATAACCTTTAGTTAACAGTATGCTTTGCCAACTACTTAATAATTCCTTCATGAAATAAATTCCCCTAACATTAATATCTTCAGTATTGCATAAAAAACATCCATATGATATGTTTATAAAAAGAGATTCTACTGTACTTTGTATACAAGAACAAAATAAATATTTTGATTTATGCAATAAGATTATGATCAATAAACAATGAGAAAGAAATCTATTTCTTTAATAACAAACTAGAAGATGTTAAAGTGAAAAGCCTGTTTAGTCATACATTTTCTATCTACCTGTATTTATAGAACAGACACACTAATATGTCCAGTTGTAAACCTCTTAGAATTCAAATCCAGGGTTTGCAAGGTTGATCCCCTGTTACTCCCAATTAAAATTACAAAGAAGTGTACATTTGTTAGAAAAGACATTTTTGTTTACAGAGTATTGAGATCCTAACATATCAATAATGTACATTTGATGACAGTGATTTCCTTTTAAGCTCATATAAAGTAAGTGTGTAAAGTTTAAACCCTTTTTTTAAAAACATAAACTTGCACGCAAAACTTTACAAAAGCGGACACCACTGCCGACACCTGGGTGAATATAATAGCTCTCCGTTGAGCTAAAAAAAGGTCCCTTAACAGTAAATCACATGTCAAATGTCTTTTTATTTTTCATAGGTATGATGTTTATGGCTCCAATCAGTGAAGATATTCTCGTTTGGTCTATATTCAGGTATTTTCGTTTCTCTCTTTAAGGTGTTGTCATGTTACTATATATAGTTACATTTGAATCATAGTGTTTTTTTTTAAGTTTTAAGATGACACTGATGATGTACATGTCGCATATGTAACTCTGAGTAAAAAAATCTCAAATGCCCCTCAAAGTATTACAAGCATTTCTGTAAGCTAGTATGATAGCTTTCTTACATTAAAGAATCCGACTCCCCTTTGTAGGATTTTAAACCTACAGAGATGAGAGGAGCAAGTGATCTGAATATAGCTCCCTGAACCACATGGCAACAGAAGCCCTATCAGTACACTATATGTCAATATACCATACCTCACCAGTTCATGACATTCGTAAAACTTTGTTGTTCCTTTCTTCTTTCTTCAGTATTCTTTACCATAAGCAGAAATTTTCTACTTTATTTATCACTCTTTGTGACTGATAAGCAGTGATTTGCTTGCAGATTCCAGACATGTAATCTCTCTAAACACATTCTATGTTTTAAGTAACTACCCACAATTCTTATAATCTACACATCAATATGTTGGGAATGGAAGATCATCCTACTATTATCACATAGGTCCGGTTAACTCCGGTTCACTACACAAAGCCATAAACCTCCACAACTTTACACTGAAAGTCTTCGCACTTGCTCAAAGGCTCGTTGTCGAACGTATCACATTTCTCTGTACGGCAATGTAGAAGATTCTCGTCCAATGATATCGCATTGCCATGCCTGAAAATATATTGTTACGACTTTAGTCTAAAAGCAATGTTTTGAAACAAAATCAATAATTTTTTTATATCAATATTAAACATATATTTCCTGTACACTGATAAATCTAAATTTAAGTCTCTATGAAGGCATAGTTAATTTTCTTATTATTTCATATTGACTATACATGTACTGTCATACCTGTGTTAAAGACCATAATACAGACCACCCTGTAAATCAAGACCACTCTTTGACAAAACATTAAAAATATGTGTGCACTCCAATTTAAGACCATTTCTCCGTAATGGCCATGAAAGGTCTCTACTTTGGATGGCCTTTATCACAGATGTGACTGTATATACCAGTGGTCCCCCACCATTATCTGTATTTAAGGACACATCCACTACTTATGCTAGGCCCACCCTTATTTTATGCCAGATGAATAAAGTAAAGGGTAGTGAAAATTGACTTAAATGCTAAGTGCAGTCATCAATCAATCAAACAATATTTTCATCAAAGTTCACTTTTTTTACTTTTACCCAATTCTCTTAAATTTGACTTCTTGACTTTTACCCAATTCTATTAAGTTCACTTTTTTACTTTAAACCAATACTATTAGGTACACTTTTTGACTTTCACCGAATTCTATTAGGTTCACTTTTTGACTTTCACCCAATTCTATTAAGTTCACTTTTTGACATTTACCCAATTCTCTTAAGTTCACTTTTTGACATTTACCCAATTCTATTAAGTTCTCTTTTTTACATTTACCCAATTCTCTTAAGTTCACTTTTTGACTTTCACCCAATTCTTATTAGTTCACTTTTTGACTTTTACCCAATTCTCTCAAGTTCATGTTTTGACTTTTACCCAATTCTCTTCTTGATATCAAAATACGGCTAAATTTTATTGACAGTTTAAACATTAAGAATATTTAGTTTATGTCAGCATACCCTCCTCCTACTGTGAGAATCTTCCTGTCTCCAGCCTGGAACATGCTGGCTGTGTTGGAAATATTTTCCTCTTTCAGCCCCACCCACTCATATTTCTTCTTCTCGGGCCACAGCGTAAACAGGAATGTTTCGCCAGTACCAAAGTACGATAACAACTGGCTCTTCTGCCTTCTGTCCCTCCAACAGGCCGAACAAAATGCTCCAAACACCTTTAAAATAAATATAAACAAAAGCACAGGTTAGTTTTGACAGTGTATCTTGGTTTATGAGTTAAGTTAAAGATCAAAATCTTTATCTTCAATAGTATAGTGGCAGCATGGCCTAATGGATAACATGTAGGACAAGTAATCTATTTGGACTGCTGGCCGCATTGGTTCAAACCACGTTAACGGCAAGCCATTATTTCCACAAGCAAGAAACTACACTCATTACATAATACTGGTTTGTTTCCGGAATGGATTCAAAGTGTTTCAACAAGCTTATTATAGCTTCTAACACAACTGAACTGAAATCGATTCAGTATAAAACTAATAGTATATAAAAATATAATGGAGGCGTCGGTGACCGAGTGGTTAAGGTTGTTGACTTCAATCAACTTGCCCCACACTGCTGTAGGTTCAAATCCTGTCAGGGATTTGGAATTCTTTCATAATTGAGGAAGTTTTCCAGTTAGATAACAGAATGTCAGTGTTTCTACTCATGTGCCAGTAAATGCCAGAAATAATGCAAAGTCTTCCTCCACCAGTAAAGCTGAAAAGTTACCATATATGACCTAGAGTTACATTATAAATGTGAAACTTATTGATATCATTGCTACTCTTTAACATCCATAAAATAAATTTTTAAAAATTAAGTACATGTATGACTTAAAACAATGATACTTTAAATGTTGTAGTGTTTTGAGATGAATACAAACTTTTGGTTAAAAAAGATTCATAGCATGTAAATATTTACATGTAAATTCACTTTTTGACACTAGAATGTTTTATTTCAAGCTTGTCAACCTATAAAACTGTTTTATCATGATGAATATTGATCATGTTTTGTGGTTAAAAATGAACATCTTATACATGAAATGCAATGTCCTGCCTTCAGCAAACATCAATTTTGAAATTTTAAAACAGTTGCATGAACCCCTCAAGTTATTTGGAAAAATCACTTTAAAAATCAAGCAAAATTTCAGTAGATGATAAACAAGAAAAAGAGCTGTTACTGGGACAATTTCCTGAACTATTCTCATAAATACATTAAGAGGAAATAATTCAGGTAAAACCCAAGAAAGAGTTAATGTTCTTGGCATGTGTCCCTACATGACACAAACAATACAAGTGGAAATCTTCTTTTGATAACCTTACTGGCTGTGGGGTAAAGTAAATGAACTTGTTTGCAAACTTACACAAGGTTATAACTATCTAACCTAACAAAGAGAAATAATTCAGTCAAAATCAATCCTAGAGTTGTGGAACTTGGATAGTGACCTTAAAAGGGACTCCATTGAGGTTTGTTAACATGATGGGTCAGAAAATATTTTTCTGAGGTTTGGGTAGCAATTGGTATGTAACTTGTCTGCAAATTTTCACTGTATATCTGAAACAGACTTGACCATTCAATCTGGACATACCCATTCATCAAAATATGAATTGACAAAATAGCGAATGGTGCAGACCATGATCAGACGGCATGGATGTGCCACTGATCTTGGTCTGCACTGGTTGCAATGGTCAAAATCAGTTGCCAATCGCAGGTTTTTATGTTTATTATATACCTCATCTTGTGTTGTTTTAATGACTATGATCGTAGGCTGGTAGTTCTCGACCCTCTGATATAACGTCACAAGACTGGTTCCATGTTCCTCTGACGTATATAACAGTTCCGGTTGACAGATTGCGTACCTTGTAGGTATCCATTTTAGTATTGCATATAACTGAAAGTAAAAAAGTTTGCCAGAGTAAATTATTAATTGTTGATTAACACTTGTGTTTATATAATGATTATCAAATAAATTTTCGTCTGTTTTGTTTTTGTTTTTTTTTTTATAAAAACAATTCAAAATATGTCACAGTGACTTAAGGTGTATTGCAGAAAAAAATATTGTCTGTATTAAGTCTCAACCCACTCCCTTTGGTATCTTGTAATTAAGATAGGAACTTGCATCCAAAAACTGCCATGGCAAACTTACCCAGGCTGAGGTGAGTACAAAAGCTCTCCTCATTCTTCAAATAGTCCAGCTAAATATAAAATCATCCTTCACTATCTCAATAATTATTTTTTCTGTTTCATTTTAAGCTGCATACCTCCAGATGAGCCAAAAGGGTAGTTTACGTTGATGTAAGTGCTATTTGCAATGTGTAAATAACTGTCTTGGTTTACTTTACAATATTTTACTTTTAAATACATCAGTTCTTCAAAAATTTTCATGAAAATTAGCATGAATCTGGAGGCATGCTGCTTTAAGAGCAAAATTCAATTTAAATATTCCTGTTATAGGACACTTAGCAAAGATTCTAGCCCCCATACAGAATAAATGGCTATAGAATTCAAAAACTGTTTTGAATGTGAAAATTATATCAACATATTAGATACATGTACATGAAACAAACATCATGTGTCACTTAAGTTACACAAATTAAATAACATGTTAGCTAGCTTGTTAACTAGAATCTGAATAAAATATCATATAATTTTTCAAACTCTGCTGCAAATTTATCGAAAATACTGAAAATATGAGAGTAACCTGCAACTTTATTCTTTCTTAGACTGACTGAGCTGTGAATCTCTCTTTGTAAATGTATCAGACATCTTAAAGGGACTCCACTGAGGTTTATTCACATGACAGGACTGGAAATATTTTTTTTTGAGATTATTGTTCAAATCTAATGTTAAGGTATGGACCAATTACTTGCGTGAAAAATTTCAGATCTCAGACATCATTTACTCACTTTGTTTTTCCAGAATAATTATTTAATAGTGTAAATTGACCCAAATTTCAAAAACGTTTCAATGTTTTTCACTCAAATCCGGCTATGAATAGCACATAAATAATTATGAAATTCATTTTATTTCCAAGTATATTTCTTAATCTTTTGCTTATCTGTCTGTTTTAGCACCCTAGCTGAAAGAAATGTTTTTAGGCTTAAATACCTCAGTGGACTTCCTTTAAAAACCCTGTTATTGTAAACTAGCAAATTGAATTTTGGAAAACACTGGCTCGATCTTTGTGAACATGAAATAATACAGAGCTATCTGAGAGTTTCTTGCATGATAAATCTTAATATGCATGTTAGTTTTTACATTTGAATAATATCTTACATCTCTTACATCAAAGTAGAAACAATTGCACGGGCTAGATGACAAAACACATAATTAACACATATAAAGTATAATTATTTATAATATACTTATAAATAAAATGAGAATTATTGATAAAATAAAAAGCATATTTTCATTTTTCTTATTTTCACTGCAGTATGTGAAACATATTTTCCATATTTTCACTGTTATCTTGTCAGACTTATCTTTCTCCTAAATTCTGCAAAAACGAAGTCTTTAATCCAGGCATTGTAAAGATCAAAAATGTATAATAAACAGAAAGTTCAAGTAAAAATATTTCTATAATTACGGGATTTATTTTAAATTCAAAGTATAAGAGTAATTATATTTCACTTGTGACTTCTGCCCTTTGATAAAATATTCATTTTCATACCACTATATGAAAATACATCCCATATTTGAAAACTTGAATATCCTCTATTAAAAACAGGACAGTAAATTAACAGTTCGTATTTCTTCAAAAAATAGTCAGTTCACTCTATTTATTTATTTTGTGCAACAGTAATATCAAAACCTTACTCAAAATACTTAAAAGGTAGAACATTTGCAACTGCAGAGTAAAACCAACAATGTTCTTTAAGCTTTCTGAATATCTTCCTCACATATAAAATTCAAAAGTTCCTGTCAGGATTCAAACCCATAGTGGTAAGGGGCAAGTGGTTTGATTTCAAAGACCTTATTTGAACCCCTCTGCCACGGACGCCTCTTTCAAAATTCATTCAAGCAACATAATTATATATAATTATGTATAAAAATATGGAACGCCGAACAAGAAAACTGCCTGCTATATAAAAAATTATTGTAAATTAAATAAATAACTCTTAAAACTATTATTTACCTTACAGTCTTTAAATCCCGCTTTAAAATTAGAATTTCGGAGGACAATATCTTTAAGATGTAAACTGATCTTTCGCTCAAACTCACTTTCTACTTTCTCTTTATGTCTCAATCTCTTAATCCAACTCATACATGAACTCATCCTGATAATATGTTCATTTCCTCACTTTTGCTCAATTAAAACACTTTGGCTCCATTTAATATTTTTTCTGTTTTGCTCAATTTAATCACTTTGGCCACTTTTAATAGTTTTTCTTGTTTTGCTTAATTACAACACTGTGGCTCCTTTTGACAGTTCTTTTGTTTTGCTCAGTTAAAACACTTTCGACTTCTTTGTTTTTGTTTTACTCAATTCAAAAGCTTTGGCTCCTTTTAATGTTTCTTTAAAAATCTTTTTTAATTATCCAGTCTGTATGATTTTGATTGTTTTAAAATAAGTTCCCGTTGACAAGATTTTTATTTTTTTAAATTTTTATCTGTGATCAATTTTTTTTCAGTAATTAAGTGAAAAAATTCTTTTCCTTCCAATAAAATGTTCTTGTCTCTATATATCACTTTTTTTGTGTTCTTTGTACTGTTTTTTTTTTTTAATATTTATAATTTCAGACAAAATGTCTAATGTATTACAAATAGCATTCTAAGTTCCTTTCAGCTTTCATAATAATTATATACTAATAAATACAAAAATAAACTTTTTTTTAACAAAGTTCTTATAATAGTTTTCTGCTAAAATATTTCAAATGATGTTCAATCAAATAATAGTAGAAGTTCTGCTTAAAAACAAAACATTCCATTCAATAGCAACATTTTCCTTCAAAAATGCCAAAAGTTTTTCTGCGTTATCTTAAAAATGAAAAGTGAAACAAACAAAAATCAGTGACCTTATTTGTTGATTAAAATGTATTATTTTTCTACCTGTATACACAGCTCTTAATGCACGTTCAAATTTATTGTTACAAATAATACCTTTCTAAACTCACGCTCTTTGAAGCTGTTGATAAGGAAATTGAAATAAAAATTCCTACTGTTTAATTTCTTATTTATTTAAAACACACTTCATTTCTTATTGTAACTATTATCTTAAAGCTCAAAAAAACTTATTATGTTTACACAAAATTTCATTGACAAAATAATGTTGAACAACAATTATCAAAACAATTAAGTTGAATTAACATCGTTTCATGTTGCTTTTCCTCTGTTAGTTTTTCGTGTTCAGTTTTGTGATACAATATTTGAAGATATTACATGTTGACCTTGAATGACCTTTGCAGATATGAGGAAATATCTTAACATCATTTCAAGATGACTCAAGTATATAAAAATTGAGGAAATAAATAGAACTAATCTGTATCGTTTAAAGTTATCAATATTTTAAGCAGACGAAAATTTTAAATACAATTTTTGAAATTAATTTTTTTTTCAAAAATAAAATCTTCAGAAAAAGGAATATACACTTATAAAATACAATAAACTTAATATCATTAAACTCCAAAATTAACATTATTAAAGAAATAATCTTTTTACTGTTTTTCACAAAAAAATCCAAAATTACAGTATTTAATAAAAGGAATAAATTATAATAGGAAGAAAATGCAAAAGGTTTATAATATGGTAAATCATTAAATTAATTGATTTTATGCATTTGAATTAATTACTTAATTCATTGGTATTTATATAGCAGTATCTATTAATTAGGTTTATTTTAAAATACCAAAAAATTGCTCATTTCCACAAGTTGCTGAGTGTTATATTGTGAAGGTGTTATAAATATAGTGATAATGGACCACTGATAACTACTGTGCTGCTGATAATATTATCATTGTTATCAATGTATAGTATAGCCAAGTAGCTAGTACCACATTGTCCTATACTTGTGATAGTCACATGGAGTGAGAATGACCATTACTAACTTAATATTTTCATTATTAATAATATTAATATGCCAAAGTATAAACTTTCATTTCAAAATATAAATTTTTAAGTATTGCTACATAATTATAAGTATGTTTAGATTTTCCTACAAGTATGTCTAGATTTTCATACATTTAGTATCTGTCTAGATTTTCCTACAAGTATATCTAGATTTTCATATAAGTATGTATAGTTTCCAATTATAAATTATGTAAGTATGTCCAGATTTTCAGATCAGTATGTCTTGATTAATAATTAATATTTTTTAAGTATAATATCATAATTTCCTTACACTTGATTATGGTTTACAATAAATTTACGTTTTCATGTGTTTATTTTTTAATTTTTCTTTTTATTTTGATAATGGTTTTTTACAAACATTAATCTGGCATTATGCTTTATATTTTATAAATCATTTTTATTTATATTAGCTGATAACCATACCTTTAAAATAATTCAAGTTGGGGTAAATGTAAAAGTTGCCATAATATTATATGACCTTTTCATGAAAGTATGCCTGTTTACAAAATAAGGCCAAATTTCAGACTCGAAATAATATTACAAAAAAAGAGAGTAAAAATATGCCAAGACAATTTAATGTAATCTCCCTTACAAATCTAATTTCAACAGTAAGCGACAATTTATTCCTATCTTTAACCCTGCATTAAAGAGTGTTAACATACCGTTTTGATCTTTCAATGAAGTAAAAACAACTTATCACAAACACAAAAACACTGAAAGATAAATCAGTCTAGTTTTTATAGTCATTTAGAACTGAAAATTCTGATAATCAAAGAAAATATAAATTCCTTATTTACGGTTTCACTTTGAGGAGAGATACTAAAT